TTTATTTATTTATTGCTTTTCATTCTTCCACCCCAGTTTCTCTTTTTTTTTGAAAAAGTTTCTTCCCATTTTACAATGTCTGTTGTACATTATTTAAGCTTTCATCTTCTTGCCCTAGGGAGACAATATAATATTTACACATGAGCACCTGGTTTATTTCTCTTATGAGCATGATCTCCAGTTGCATCCACTGCAGGTCTCTAATTTATCCTCTGTTAGGGCTGAGTAGTACTTCATTATAAAGAAAGACCAGGGCGAGGGAGATTGCCCAGTAGAATTAACACTTCCCTGGCAAGTGCAAGGGTCTGAGTTCAATCCATGGTTCTGCCCCCCCCCAAAAAAAAAGTAAATAAAATAAAGACCACATCTATCAGTGACTATAAAAGTATCAGTTAAAACAAAAGATGAATTTTGAAGCCAAATGTTCCATAGCATGGTTAAAACAAAAGATGGATTTTTCAGTGAACCCAAATGTTTAGTGATATTTCATTAATCATGAAAAACCGGCCCTTTTACTTACAAGTCTTTAAGTCATTTGGAAATGTGAGAGACACGGCCTGGGGAGAGACTGGTGAGAGCAGCGGGTCCCTGTGTGCCCCCCATCACTTTCTGCCTGTGCAGGTGGCATCAGGTGCCACACATTTAGTGCTCTGCCCCTTTAACTGCAGACCTCAGAATAGAGTGTGTGGGCCCAATGCACATGTGATGTCATTCTCCTGGACTCTTGTAATTGTTCTCGATTTGTCAGTGGGAACTGTGAAAGGATTATCCATTTACGGTGCCTCTGCTGAGGTGGTGAGCAGGATGCTCGGGTTACTGGTAACAGCTGCTTTTAGAGTTTATTGTGGTGCGCTGGGAAGATCTTCAGGAAAGAAGTAGCTTTCAGACAGTGTTCATGATGGAAACTGAGGCACGGGGGCTGCGTATTGTGCATACATTTTGAGGGCTGTTTTCAGAAAACAAGACCTCCTGTCTGATTGCTTTTCTTGGAGGTATTCTGTGGAAAGTTTACTCTACTGAGCCACTCTGCCCTTAAAAATGTGAAAACTGTTGAGCCTCTGAAAAAGTATGGTTACAGACGTGTGCTAGTAATAAGGGCGGTTTTCACCAATTTACATTTTCCATGTAATCATCTTAAAGACCTTAAGAAGATCCTTTGTAAATTGGCTTCCCAAAGTTAGGGGAAGCGCCAGCCTCTCTTGACCGTCTTGGTTTTAGCAGGCAGTTTGGCATTGTGAGGCACAGGTCCCCGTCTTGAGAAGACGGGCCAGATATGAGTGCCACTTCATTGTTTTATGGGTGGCAGAGAGCTTTTACTACCTCACTGAATCTTTGGGGTAGGTCGTTCTACCCTTAGTGATTTTTTTGTATTTTAAAATTTAATTATTTCCATTAAAAACTGAAAACTTGTGTTTCTGAGAGATTAAAACTAATGAAAAGTGGGCACCTTTACTCAGAAAATACATGGGCACTGGAAACATCAACCCATTTGTAGGATACTCCAGTACTCTCAGAGCCACTGCGTCTAAGGATAGTTTCCAGGATGAGGTGGAGCACAGAATGCCAGAAAGGTTATTTCAGTATCCAGGACGGGGAGCATTTCTCAGCCAGTGACAGTCTTGTGATCGGAAACTCTCTGCCCATACAGGGCCTCATCTTACAATTGGGTTGTAAAACCATGGGCCTGAGTAACTGCAGATTATGTATCTGGTGTTTTCTGGGTTGCATCCAGAGTAGGTAATTCCATCCTGCTGAGCCACAGTTGACCAAATCACAAGAGCCTGGACAGAGTGCTTCCCTTTGCAGTAAGAAAATCCAAACATGGGAGTGTTTAGAGCACTCCCTGAATACAGATGGAAGAGTCAATGCTTGTGAATCGAGGGCAGTGACTCCCAGCCTCAGAAGTAACTTGAGGGCCAGGGAGATGGCTCAGTGGAATAAGCGTTTCCCTGGCAAGCTCAAGGGCCTGAGTTCAATCCCCGATTCCACCAAAAAAAAAAAAAAAAAAAAAAGAAAAAGAAAAAGAAAAGTAACTTGAGGGGTGTCCAGAGGACTCCACTTGGCTGCTCTGCAGCAGTCTGCCCTGACTGAATAGTGCAGCTAGCAGAACAGCTTTCTTCCTTGGGAGTGCCCACAGATGGGCTTGCCCTGCCCTGAGCAGACAGCTCTTTGGGGGCTGTTCGTTGACTGAGGACTGGTGTCTTAGCAGTAAGGGTTTAGAAGGATCCTGCCAGCTCTGTTCCCTGGTTAGGGTAAACAGTAGTGAAATTTAACAGGAATGAATGTAAACTCCTGAGGTTAGCTCTGAAACCAATTGCATAAGAGTCAGAATTAAGGAATAGCCCAGGAGAGGCTGGAGTTTGGACGCCTTAGGTAGGGATCCCAGACACAGCTGTGGGTGCCATTGATTGACACTTGTGGACAACCTGAAGTACATCTGGGGACAGAGAGACAGTGGTGTCCACTCTAAAAGACAAGCAGAGCTCGGACTCTGTCCCAGACATCTCTAGGTGTGTTGGGAGAGATTGGCTCCTCTGAGGGATGGATATACTTTCAAGTAGAAGTTAGTCAAGAAATGACTTTTTCATCTTAATGGAGGGAGAATTTCAGCACGCCAGTGTGGAAGTGGCAGTCTTGAAGAGGTGGCGGGTTCAGTTATTCCAGCATTCATGGCAGGTGGCTTTGAGTTTTAGAGGGGACTTGAAGCCACCTCTCACTGCCCTGACTTCCATCTGTCCTGTTATATAGTAGTGGCAGAGCAGCGAGGACATTGGCTTTTTTTTTTTTTTTTTTTTTTTTTAAGACATAGTCTCATTCTGGCCTTGAATTCATGATGTAGCTCAGGTTGACCTGGAACTTATAGTGGTCACCATGCCTCAGCTTCCTGAGTACTGGGATTATCCACTCAGGGGTATAGGTGTGCACCACTATGTCTGGTGTACTTTTTACCTAAAATGTGATTCTGTTATGAACACCAAGAGTTCAGGCTCTAGCCTGGGGTTCATTCTCATATTCATTCATTCTCTCTCTCTCTCTCTCTCTCTCTCTCTCTCTCTCTCTCTCTCTCTCTGTATAGGTTGCTTGTATTTTCCATTTTGTTTGGGAAGAGGGTAGGCTAACCTCTGCCAGAGTTTCTTTCATTCTCTAATTTCTCCAGTAAACTGCTGTGGTGCTCAGATAGACTTTTGGGTAGTGAGTAGTTCAGTTTGAGCTTTAGAAGACTCTTAGATCCCAACACACAATGTAATAGTTTGAGAATTCAAAAGGCCCACATTACAGAGTTCATCTGGGGTCATTCACAAAATACTTTCTTGTGGCATAACTTAGACCTTAGTATTTGGCAGTTTTTAAAGTCCTATGTAAATGTGCATATATTAGTGAAGAGCAGTCAATGTTTTGCTCACAGTTCTCTGAATGATAGTTTAGGGGCAGCATTTAAAGACAGACAACCTGAAGCAACTTGAAGTCTGGCCCCCCCACTTAAAACAAGTGCTCCTAAATCCAAAAAACTGAAACAGAAGCCAAAGACACCCATTAGTTAGGCCATCAATTTTTTTTTTTTTTTTTTTTTTTTTTTGCGGAACCAGGGATTGAACTCAGGCCCTTGCACTGGCCAGGCAAGCGCTTATTCTACTGAGCCATCTCCCTGGCCCCTATCAGTTGTGTAATATTTTCTTGAGTTTCTCCACCTGGGCTCTGTTAAGATCCACATGAGGGGAGGGCCGGGGAATGAGATTCAGTTGGGAGAGGGAAGGAGTGGAGGTGTGCCGCTTGCTGTTGTCCGCTGGCACCCCCTTTCTTCCTGGGTCCTTTGTGGTAATGATGCACAGAATTGAGAGGCCATGGGGGAGGACCCGTGGCGCCACACAGCCCTTCCTATCCAGGCTCAGGCCTCCACTTTTTCACCCATCCCTAGGAACAGCTCTTCCTTCTCTTTTTGGGGAGGACTTTGAGTTAATGACCTAATAGCTTCTCAACAAAGGAATATTGATATGTTAGTGTTCAGGACAGCAGGGAGTGCTGGATTAGATCATTCCCACACTGGTGCTATGCCAGTGTGACATTTGTTCAGAAAGCTTATCTGTTTCTGACCGTAGGTTACGTGCATAATTGAAGGGTAATACATTTTTGGGGAAGGTTTCTTTCGGTTGTGTAATCAGTTCACAGTGCCACAGAAAAGTGCAGGATCCTCCTCCCTACCCCGCTGCCTTGGTTTTCACGTGGTCAGGAACTCTGAGTGGGCGGCGTGGTGAAGTGCACCACGCAGGCGGAGACATTTCCACAAGTGTGCCAGGCCCTGGTGGTAGGTGTTATAGGAGAGGTAGGACTGGGCACAGCCCGGCACTTGCCTTGGGGTTATAGTTTAGAAGAGTGGCAGAGTGCCCGGACAGTACAGGCAGAGCCCTGAGCGTCACTGTGAATGTCCAGGTCTGGTGGCACTGCTGACCCAGTGGGATGCATCATTGTGGTAACGAACATTCTGCCTCCTTCCTCCTGGCTCCTGCCACCATTTTGCCTGTTGTTGATCACATACTGAGATGGTTTGACATTTCAGTGAAGATGCCAGTTGCTATGATAAGGCTGACATCTTTTATTTTACTTGATATTCTTATAAACAACTCATTCTGCTGTGGAGCTTTGACTGTCATTGAGCCAAGTGCCCTGGTAGACAGTAAGTATTTTGTAAATGGTTTTTCTATGAACCCCTCCAAATTTGCAAGTCTGCGGAATGAGTGCTCCTCTTGAGTGAACAGTTCCTCTCATCTGCGAAGATTATCCAGCCTCTGCCTGCCATTGCATTTCTGTATAAGTGCTTAACATGCTACATAGAGAAAAAAGCCACTTGGATCTCAAAATTCCATATTCTCCACTAGCAGTTCTTCAAGCAAGGCAGGTGGCTGAAGAATATGCAGCAGAATTAGCAAAAGCAGGATGTGTGTGTTTACCATGGCCCATACTATTTAGTGATTATACTGTTTTGTGATTTCTCTTTTAGGCTTATTTTCTTGAAAACGCTCCAGGCTTCGGCTTGGAAAATCCAACCGCCAAAATTGAGCCCAGCAGCTGGAGCGGCAGCGAGAGCCCTGCCGAAAACATGGAAAGGATGAGTGACTCTGCAGATAAGCCGATTGACAATGATGCGGAAGGGGTCTGGAGCCCCGACATTGAGCAGAGCTTTCAGGAGGCCCTGGCTATCTATCCGCCGTGTGGGAGGAGGAAAATCATCTTATCAGACGAAGGCAAAATGTATGGTAAGTGGCCTGGAACGCCGCTTTGGAATGCCACAAGCCGCTGCGTGGCAGGGAGAGATTCAGCTGGCCTTCTCGTGAGATCCTTTCATTGCATTGGATTGAATCCTTGTAGAAGTAGAGTTGCCCACCTGGAAGACCAAAGCTTGGCTAAAGCGGAGCGTCAGTGGAGGACTGCTGGGGAATTGCTGGCGTTCCTTCCTCTGCGTGTGCAGTGGTGGTTCCTCAGAAGCTCTTGAGGTCCAGGCATCAGTGCGGCTCTCTGTAGTGGGGTGTGCAGAAGCCACAGGGTGTGGCCAGGCTCTTCAGCATGTAGCTCTGTGGAAAGGGGGCCTGGTAGTTGTGCTGTGGGGGGTGAGGCCCTAGTGCTGTGAAATCTCTCATTTTCCTTCTCCCCCCGAAAGAGCCCATAATCTAACCTAGATGTGCATGTGAGATCTGCTTTTTTCATAAAACCAGACTTATTTTTTCACACAATCCTGTACAGGCCAGATAAAACATGCTTGTGAACTTGATCAGACCTCTAAACCTGCTGTTCTCCCAAAGCTTCGCTGCCAGTTTGCAGCTGCACGGCCAGAGAGGCGTCATACAGCCCTGCTCGCCTTAGTGGTCTCCTCCTTTGCAGAGGGCTGGATGCCTCACAGTCTGTCCTGAAGGAAACTCCAAGCACGCAGAGGGCAAGAGCAGCTATCCAGATGGGTTAGGGTGCTAGGGGAGCAGCATGTACCCTTCCAGTTGTCAGGTTTGCTTGAGGGGTTTGCACACCCTCCCACCACGTTCTGTAAATGCCCCCAGCTGCAGGCCTGCAGTTTTTGGCTGCGTACCTTTTGGGAAACAGATGGCAGGTGGTTACTCTTGTACATTCTGCTTGTCTAATTGGGCACAACGAGTTGACAGAGTTTGCACTGTAGCTGGGTCTAAAGAGATGCAAACAAATAATCTCAACTCAAAGAGAACCAGCTCTACAACCTACCTGAGGTTGTTAACTTATCACAAGAGTGATTTATTCCTCAATAATTTGCACTCTTTTCCATAATAGGGTGTTGTGCCTTTAATCTTGCGCTTCCTCTATCATGAGCCATAGGAGTCTACAGCTCAAAGCAGCACACTGTGGAAAGGGAAAGCAGATGGTAGTGCAGCTGCCACCAGCTGTGCCCCCACCCCACCCTCCCCCAACTTGGATGACGTAATGGAAACAAGGACAGTTTTGCTTTCTGCAGCGCTGGTGTCTCTCAGCCTGCCATACACAGGGGAGATAGAGGACCCAAACTGTTGGCATTTATCTTAGGCATTCCTAACACGTTTTGTAGTCAGAGACGCTTCTTCATATCTAGTGAAACACAGTTAGAATGAAGTGCCACAGCTGCTGTAAGGAGAAAGTCTCAGGGCCTTGAGTGTCTTTGTTTCCCTTCTGGGTTCTGCGTCCTTAGCCTGGCTGTCCGAGCACAGAGGCTTATCCTGAAGACGCAGACCCTCTCTCTCTTTAAGGCAAGAAAAGTGCTTTGACCTTTGAGCCTCCCATGGAAGTGACTCTATCAGCTGCCTTGTACAGTGGCCACTTATTTACCCAGTAATTGTTCTAATCTGAAGTAACGGCACACAGTTGGAGGGCCTCATTGGGAAAAACATTGCATTTCACTCCACACCAGGAAAGGCGCTTCCTCCTCTGAAGTGAGTTTTGGGGTTGAGAACACAATTGAGAGCTGAAGCTAATTTTCATCAACTCCAGTTTTATTTCGTCGTCCTTTGAAATTTTACTTTTCCAGTAGTAGCCATGGTAGATTTAACCAATTGTGTTTAACTCAATTTAAAAAATATTTTTATGTGAAAATAATTGTGTAAGAGTTCCCTTTGGTAATTGTATCTCAGAGGCAGCAGGCTAGGAAGATGAAGGGTGAGACGTTAATCTGTCAGTGAATTTGAGTGGCTTTGCCCTTGGTGGTTTTGATCTCTTTTTTTCCTCTCTCTGTTAAAAAACAAAAGATGGTGAATTAGATGATGTCAGTGTGTCTGCTGGACTTTTCTGGTTTAAGATGCTGTGGCATTGGGACTTGGAACTCAGCAAGGTGATCAGTTATTGGCAAACATGGTGTTGGGGGCAGTGACACATCTGTGGCACCCAGGGTAACTCAGATTCTGAGAGCTTTCTCAGCGCACACCCAGTTAAGGTATGGATTCTCTGTCAAATCAACATAGGTGTTTACTAACTCTGTTGGTGGCCGATCTGATTTTAAAATGAGACTGTCCTTTCGAGACAGGCACATTAAGAATTACAATTTGTTTGGGAAGACCAGTTTTACTGAGTGTGGGCGTTTCTGCAGAGATAGAGCACAGCTAGCTGGGTGTAGTTTCTCCACTAGTTGCACTGGTGATGCTCCCCACCCCCCACCCCCTGGGCATCCCCCCTCAATCCTCCCCAGGGAGAAAGCCTCCTCATCCAGCACCCTATCTTGAACCATGTTGGTAGAGTTCCTGCTGTGTGGGCAGGAAACTTGGTTTAGTTGGGTTATGGAAGGTGGATTCATTCAGAGGAACTGGCTTAAATATCTAAAAGCTGCCTCTGACCTTCCTGGGACTCTGGATGAGAAGAACTTGACTGGGGAGCCCGCACAGTGAGGCTCCAGCTACTTGAGAATAGAGTCACAAGAGCAGTGTGGGGCCAGAGTTACCACTCCTTGGCTTCTGGCCTGTTCTCCATTGTGTATACAGGAATCAGGACATAAACCAGACCAGAGAGCAGTTGTTCTTAAGGTTTTCGGAGCATACTTTTCCTCTAAGGGCTTTGCAAATGAAAATATTGAAAGCATTTGGAGTTCCATGTGGTAAAATCAAAATAATTTAATGTCTTTTAGTGAAATACCAAGTGTTTTTTCTGTGAGGGGTTATTCTGATATTTCTGAGTATTTGTAGAGTGCTTTGTGATGTCACTTATCCTGAGCCATTGGACAAGCAAGGTCGAGTGATTTATTTTGTAATGAAATTTCCTTCGTGGTTGGCAGTAGAGCAAATGCAATCTCCAAGGGAAGGAATGGAAAGCTGTCTTTATGATGAGATTTCATCCATTGGAGGAGATGGCTTAATTATTTTTGTCACTTTGGTCTTCTGGGGAGCTGGATAGATCACTTTGGTGTTGGGCTTCCAAGTGTGTAGCAGTTGTTCTTACAGATTATTGGGGGTGGTTGAGTGAGACCTCCTTTGACATTGACTTGGACTTTTTAGAGGCACAGATGTTGGCTGTATTCTCTTTTTCTGTCTTCCCTTTTTGTTTCTTATTTTTGCATTGGTATGTGCTTTTTTGTGTGTATGAGTTAGATAGTGAGAGAGAAGGAGGTCTCTGGAGCATAAGATGAGAGGGAAGTTCTTGGTCAAGAAACTTCAAAATTGGATTCCAGGGCAGGAGGCCGTAGTTTACAAGGCAGAACGAAGCAGTTAGCTATGGGAATACCTAGATCTGGTTCTTGTGATTGAAACATCAATCTTGCAATGTGCTTGAATATCCCCCATGATCAAACTAGGTTAGGACACAAACCAGCTTTCACTGGTTGTTTTCCATAAGACTTTTTGGACTTTGTAAGTATTATAAAACCCTGGCCCTCACTTCTAGATTTCAGGCTTTGGACAAATTCCCTCACCTTTCTGTGTCTCAGTCTCCTTAGTAGCAAAGGAGCTCTGTTCCTCTCACCGGGTGGTTGCAAGTATTATATGGACTAATTGGGATTTGGGACCCTTCCTGCCACGTTTGAATGGCATCTAGCCGTCGGTGAGAGCTACGTGTTTATGCACTGAAAACAAAGACACATTCTCTGCCTTGTACTGTGCTGATAGCTTTGCGTGTCATCTCTCTAATACTGCTAGTGACGCTCACAGATGAGGAGGCTGTGACGGGATGGCACTTGAAATGTGCCAGTGTAAGTGATATCACTAGACGGTATCAAATCCAAGTGTGTCTGACTCTGAAGCCCGGGATCTTTCTGCTGTGCTTTTCTTCCTTCCTACATGAAGGCTGTTGTCCATTTGTTCAGCAAGTCAGTGATGAGTACTTGCTGTATTCTAGTCCTGTCCTTGAGGCTGTCCATGACAGCAGTGAACCAGATAGACTCAGTCCCTGCCCTCGTGGAGCTGTCACAGGTTCACTTGCAGGAAACTGCCGTGAGGTCAGGGCTGGGTGCCAAAGATTTCTGGGAAGCTTGAGAGCTCTTTGAAGATGGTCACCTTCCACTTCGCCTTTTGAAGTCTGTTCTTGGCCACTGAAGTCCAGGACCCCTGGGGTGATGCTGGCAGGAAGAAAGCTTCTCAAGTAACGTGGCAGGGAGAGTCCCAGATCACAAGGCTGGCCCTGGTGGTAGCCAGGAAGATGTCAGAAAGGTTCTAGTGTCCTGGGATCCTATAAGCAGTCTGGGCAGGACTGGGCAGTATGAGAGGACACTCTCATGGCATGTCCCACAGGACCAAGAAGGTGACTGTGTGCGAGGTCCCCAGAGGCCCTGATGTTCAGATTAGAGCCCTGAAAGTTCCAGGCCCAGGCAAGTGACCCCTGGGACCTGCGCTGAATGAGTTCTTCCTAGTTCTCCAGGTGAACACTGCGTGGCATCTTCAGTTTCCTCTTTCTGACCTGTTGACTCAGGTTGATTGGTTAGAAATGTGAAACACAGGCACTGTGCCCCCACAGTACCAGCTATGAGCTCCCCAAAGCTGCAGCCTCGCCCATCCAGCAGGCCCTGTTTCAGGGCCTGGGATGCAAAAGGTCTTGGCAGTGTGTGCGGAGTTGTACACACATGAGCAAATTACTGTTGAAACAGAGAAAGGCAGTCAGTGAGTCCTCCGAATGCCAAGGACCTCCACTGTCAGTGGTCTTGGCTCGAAGGGGGGAGAGGAAAAGAGAAAGGTATTTGTTGTCTTTTTAAAGTTAAGAAAGAAGAGCCCTTGGCTTTTGCAGTTTGTGTTGGCAAATTGTTGTTCACCAACGAAATTCTAGAAGAATTTCTGCTCCAAGTAGGGACGAT